TCTCTCTCTCTCTCTCTCTCTCTCTTTCCCTCCCTCCCTAGTTATTTTTTTACGCCTGCCATTTGGTGCTGAATAAAGAGGCATTGCATGCTGACATCTATATATTTATTTCTTAAACCTACACCATTCTATAAGCCATTGGCTTTTTGGCACTTTATTGAAGTCAATAATTATGTTGCTTTGCTTATTACAGTTCTCATGATATGAGGTTTATGGGGTATCTATGAGTAATCATTTTGCTATGTAAACACCGTCTTTGAAAAAGTGTAGTATCCTATGACATTCACAGCATCGCCCATATATGTAAAAGGTATTATGAAGTTAGCAAAAATAGTTATATTTGGCATTTTAATTTGACAGAGGCTTTAGATGTTTTACAGCAGTAGACCTAAGTATGAAAAGCGAGAACCTCGGTTTTTTTTTAAAATGAGTGATTCTGTCAAAACAAAGACCGGCTCCACCGCTCGTACAGTAAACGATTCAAGACGTCTAACGTTTCCAGCTAACCGTTATGAGAGTAATCGTTCTCCGGTGGCGTCATGATGTCTCGGCCAGACGCCAACCTCCTCGATGCCATCTTCACGAAAACGTTCTCTTTTGCCTTCTCCCTTCACAAAATTAGGTAGTTCAATATTCTCATTATTGTTTGTTGTCTCCTTTCCCTTTCGTTGTTTGTCCGCTTCAAGCTTTTGTGTTTCCTCCTTTCAATGTTTTGACGAGGGTGATAAACTATTTAATAAACCTAATCGATTTAAGCGATGACAAATTTCAAGCAGTCCTCGAGGAGCCTATCAAAATCTTTTCAAAATGTCGTCATAGAGACACGGAGAAGTGTAATGTGTGCATTGTCTTGATTACACACTCTGCTGAACAGGTAATTCTTGTATCAAAGTCGGGAGATGAAGAGCAGGGAATTTGTTTGATTGCTCGCGCAATATTATTTCAAGTTCTTAAAACGATAGGTCTTCTTTTGTATAGAGATAAAATACGGTTAATTTCAAGGTAAGAGCACCTCTTCATCCTTTTTCAATAATAAACAAAATTTGAAAGCTTTTGGCATTTTACATTGTCTTCTTGTCAACGACTCAGTTAGTTTGGCCTTTTCTGTGCTAAAGGATTTATTGCTATTTTTATGCCTGGACGCGATATTGCTTTAATGTAATGGCTAATCGGTGCGTAGGTCAAGAGTTGCAGCTGTGAGTCATTTCATCTTGGGAATAATTTAAAAGCCCTCCAAATACTAGTTAAGTGTATTCTATGGACAGACATATGAAGTCTTTTGGAATGTCACTAACACTTGCACGGAATACTATAAACCTCTGAAGAGTTTTGTCCTCACAGGTGAATTATTTACATCGAGGCTTGAAGAGTTGATCAAAAAACGGTTTTTGAAGCAATCTGACCCTGATCTCTACCTACCATGAGTTGAAACTATTGTGGTTTAGGAAGAGAGTACATTTTACACCCTTGTATACTGAAAAAAAACTGAGTTAATGATCTGAAAAGTGTTGTCCATAAGTTAGAGCCCGACGAAACCCAAGACGTGAATGAGAGACTGTCGATATTACGTGAAATCATTTCGACATACCACTGTCTTACTCTAAACTTCATTGCTTCTCTTGGTTTTCCTTTTTGATAAATCTGGGCAGCAATACTACTGTTTTCTTCAGTTTGCTCAGTCGAGCTTCGCGTCTCCGATCTAAATACCATCTGGCCCAACCGTGCTCAAACAGCCTAAAAACATTGGGATTGCATATATTTCTCACACTTTGGGGGTGGACAAAGTTTAGTGTCTTATAACTGAATAAACCCTTACACGACCAATTATTTTTTAAACTTTTAGACAACCTCATCCCCTTGTTTATTTTTATTTTTTTCACTTAAAGGAAGGTGTTTTACAGCCTCATCGGAACAAGTATTTGATTTTCTCTTTACAAAGGAGTCAAGTACCCCTATATAAAACACATACACATTGAGTGCGTGTGTGTGTGCGGTTACAATCACATCCAAACAACAAAGGGGTACTTTCTCTCCTGTTTTCTTTGACCAGACTACTTTCAGTGATATGGAAGTGACAACATCCACAGTGTCAAAACCAGACGACGTTCAGTTAATTCACCTCACTCCCCCCGATCCGGACGTTGGTCAGTTAATCTCTCGGGAGTTCAGGAACGCTTTCGAGGAAATCCTCCAGATTCTGATCGTTATAATAAACCTTTTCGGTGTAGTCTCCAACTCTATCAACATCCGGGTGTTCGTGCGCCAGGGAGTGATGTCAGACACAACCACCATTGGCCTCTTCGCCCTCGCCATATCCGACCTCCTCGGCTGTTTCTTCATGCTCCCCCCGACGGTCTGTTTCTTAATCAAATATCTCCGACTGGGCACCTACGTCGATTTCCGAAATTGCCACAGTTACACGGCCATGGCAGGCCACTACACACACGTAATGTTCTCCCGCATCACCTGTTGGCTAACCGTCTACATCTCTATCGAGAGAAGTCTCTGCGTTCTAATCCCCCTGAAAATAAAATTTCTCCTTCGCCCTGCACTAACAAAGAAAGTGGTGATCCTTATTTACACTTTTTGGGTAATATTCCACATCCCTTACGCAGTCAATACGAGAATCGTACCTGAATATTCTGAGGTCTACAACCGAACTATGGCCTTCGTCAGGGAAACACCTCTGGCTCCTCTTTTCCTTAAGATCAACGTCATAGTTGCAAGCACAATCCTCACCACAGTAGCTATGGTGCTGGTGGCCATCACGACTTTCATCTTGATCTTCAAGCTCAAAACCACCAGCAAATGGCGACAAAGTGTGTCGAGCGCCCCGATATCTACAGCCTCAGACCCAGGATCAGGTGTCCCCTTCTCTTCCTCCTCCTCCTCTTCCAAAGCGGCGTCTGGGAAGGAGAAAGAAGTCATGGTCACCGTCACAACGATCACGACCATCTACCTGGGCACTCTGGTGGGCAGCCACATCCCGGCTATTGCTCTGGTCAGTTTGCCTGGCGTTACTCTGGCGGGGTCAAACAGCAACCTCTTCTACATAACCTACTACACCAAGTTCTTTATGGACTCCATCAATTCCTCCGTCAACATCATCATGTACCTTAAGTTTAGCAGTAGATACAAAGCAGCGTTTAATTCAATCTACTTTCCTGAAAAGGTCGAAGGAAAAGGAAACTGGCATTAGAAAATATGTAGCCGAGATTCTGAATTGCCTTTTGAAGAAAAAAAATTGCTACGAAATTTTTAGCATAAAGTATGCCTTGTCCTAAAAGACGCTTACAATGGAAACGACTTTTTCAACCTTTTGAATACCGAGGAAAACCGAAACAATTTTAACATTGCACTAATTTAACCCCCCCCCCACCAACTTATTTCGTTCTTATATTTGTTTAACTCGGCAGCGTTCGATATAATTTTGCTTTTTTTTGGAACTTGCTTTTGCCTTTTTCGAGAACTTTGAACTTGTTACGCTGTGTACTGTTAACGAGCTGCAGCAAGACCCTTGATAACTTCTCAAACAGAACACATGTAATATAGTCGTCTTTAGACTATTTCTTTGAAATTTGAATTTAACTTTCCCCTGAAAGCATCCTGAAAGCAAAATAAGATAAGAATAAAGGATCTTGCTAATATTATTATCATTTTTCTCCTCTACAAACTTATTGCTTTTAATGTTTCATAGAATAACGGAACATTGCTTCCCCGCCCCCAGGTGACTAGATTTACCCTGCGAGGAGGACGATAGCGGACAAATATGGGCGACCAGCAGCAGACTAACGGCAATGTTGCGGCACATTTTGCACCATCATACACAAATCACAAACACGAAGTTACCTATTCCATAAATATGGTACTGCCTGTTTTTTTCAAGTTAAAAAAAAGTGTAGAATCTGTATGAAAAACGAAGCTAAGCTTCTTTTCTAAAGCGCCAACAAAATACCCATCTACCCCTCCCCCTAGATAGATAGATAGATAGATAGATAGATAGATAGATAGATAGATAGATAGATAGATAGATAGATAGATAGATACGATAAAGAGAGAAAGAGCGCACGATAGATAGATAGATAGATAGATAGATAGATACGATACGATAAAGAGAGAAAGAGCGCACGAGAGAGAGGGGGAGAGAGAAAGAGAGAGAGAGAGAGATAGAGAGAGAGAGAGAGAGAGAGAGAGAGAGAGAGAGAGAGAGAGAAAGAGAGAGAGAGAGAAAGAGAGAGAGAGATAGAGAGGGAGAGAGAGAGAAAGAGAGAGGGAGGGAGGGGGAAGTGAGAGAAGGGATACAAGATGGGCATAGACACAAATATTATTGAAGGCCTGAATTGAAAAGCATGTCGTACCTAAAGTGACAAATATATATTGTTTTACCCTGTTTATAGTTCCCCGTGAATGGTATTGTAAGTAAAAACTTTTATTTCAACATTTTTCAACACTATCGCAACTCTTGCAATGACTCGGTTTTAGCAATGTTTTTATCCTGAGCAGATCAATACAATACTCACGTAAATACAAGTACGAAGAAGTAATTGGGGCCCTAGGATAATAATATAAGGCCGTGTACAGGTGAGCTTTGTCAGTTTAATAATATGCCAGGCAGCGTGGTGGAATCAGGCTCTCGTCAATTTTTGGGCAAGTAGAGTTGTTTGTATCATCTTAAAGCTTGTTCATTTGTCTTTATTTGGGTGAAAAAATATCCATTTATCTCGAATACAAGTCGAGATATTTGAGAATGAAGGAGGTGGGGGTCACCTGTTTTCAGAGATAAGATTAGTGAGAAAATGGCTGCCAAAGATTAGTTATTTCCTTAGCTTTAGAGTCCGTGGTAGCTGAAAATTTACATTTTTTGTGCCTTTAATCAACGTTTTCAGAAAAAGCCATACAGAAATGAGTTCTTTAAAGGGCATGAAAGGTGTTGAGTCAAAAAACAAAAATGTGAAAAAATTCACAAACCTGTGGAAAAAATGCAAGTTTCTTCACTTTGATTATTTTGACGAGTGCCTGATTCTACCACGCTGCCTCACATATAATCTTTGCACCCTAAAGCAAAGCTGTCTGCTCACTCGACTTACTATTCTCTATTTCATTTTGTTTCTGAATATGTCTAGTGATTTTGTTTTTGTCCTCTATGAGTTATGATAGGTAAAAAGACGAAACAATAAACTTTTAAAACAATGGACAGACATGCTGTTTTGTGCTGTTTTTGACGTTACATGTTATGTTTCTTTTTTGCCTTGCCTTCTTTTCTGTTATGAGTTGGGCGTTAAGTAAAAGCCCCTTGCACATCAACTGGAGGTGAACAAATTCTTTTTATGGAAGAACAACAATTTTGATTTCTTCACTCAATTACTTTGTAAACGTGATACTTTCTTCAGAGCATTGTTCGCTCCACCTGGCCCCCCCCCCCCCTTTTTCAAGTCACTCCCTCGTGCCATGGTGGTTTTTTAAATGACATAATATTACTGTGACATATTTTGTAACTACTGTCAACAAACACTACTAACCAATCTTTGACTGACGTCTGTGCTGTACTGTTTTGGCGCTCCCCCTTCTCGTTCAGAAGACTTGAGCTCGATTCCCGAGTGGCTAGAAATTTTATCGAGAATCTCCGTCTTTCTGCTGGGACATTGTATTTCTTCAGCTCGTGTTGACCCCGGCAAGCAAGGTCGAAGTAGCATGCCTCCTAAGTCTACGTGTCCACCCAAATGAGACCGCTTCCAGGCAAGGCTAATGTACGAAGTTTTTGCATGCAGTAGAACCTACTCAAAAAGAACCCCGTCCACCTTGTCAGCTTAACCCATTGTTAGCCCAGTGAGTTATGATTACGAGAACAACAGACAGAACAGGCGACTTATTTATTTATAAATAAACTTACATTTTCAGCATTGTTTCTGTTGTGTAGATCTATAGAGACATAAGTATAGGTCTAAACAAGACTGTCTTTTTTTTTATTACGCAGAGGCTAGAGTCTATCCCTGGTGTACATTTTAGCTCATACGAGCCGAGTGAGGGGGTGACCTAGGAATTGGCTAGGTCTAACCTAGCCTACTTTTAGCTCTCTCGAGAACGAATTAATCTAGGTCAAGTGCTTTAATTCCATTTTTCTGCTGTTTTTCAGCCACAAATCTATTAGTTTACAACATATTTTAATGAGAAACAACTTTATTGATAATGTAAAGTGCAATGCAGAAGCAAAAATGTGCTTAAAGATGCAAATTTCCTTCTAAAATGAGTTGAATCGAGGTTTCTTAGTCACATGTACGGATGACGGAAAAGTGTGCATGTTGCAAAATCTCGCAGTCAAGCAAAGAAAGTCATCAACTGATGAAAACGAACTCCTTTGAATGTGAGCCTGGCCTGCAACTGACGAAAAAAGCCACGCGACGTGTGGCCTAAAGGATCGAAAGTATATCGATGGGGACGTAATATATTTACATTAACACTAATAAATACGTTTGTCTTTCTGTCTCAATACAAGTGAGGGTTATCTCTAAAAAACATAAAGTTATACAGTAAGCAATGACTTGGCCATTTGCCACAAGAAAAGTCCTCGCTTTTTCTCAGTGTTATACTGACGTCGATGAAGTTGGGAATCGAACTCAGGTCTTCTGCCGGTAACGGCGAAAGCCCTGACCTCTACGCCATGGAAGCAACAACAACAAGCAACAACAAAAAGCAACAGCAACAGGCTACAGCAATTACTCCGTTGCCCCCTAAACCCGCTGGCCACAACAACAACAACAACAACACAACAACAACAACAACAACAACAACAGCAAAACAGCAACAACAGCAAAAACAGCAACCTAATAAACTGTCCACAGAGAGAACAGAGCAAAACTAACTTTACTTAGGCATGAGTTGGAGAGATACGATTAATTATTTGAAAGCCGATCAAAGTTTTGCGAGGTGTTGAAGTTTTCCACGTGAGAAAGGCAGATAAATCAACTTTTTATATTATTCCTCACTACAATAGAAGCATTTTTGTAAGACGGGGCTGTGCGTTAGACTGTTGACGTTATACTAGGCTCCGGGCAGTAACCTTTAAAACACATAAAGCAAAATTAAAACCTCTGGAAAATTCCCAAAGTGTTAACATTTTGGCACTTTCACCAGCTTTCAACCTCTCCAATTGTGCTGTAATTTAGACAACAGGGATCAGCAGTCCTTTGGACATAGCCTCATGTTTTGGGTTGTTTCTCTGGGTTTGAAGAAATCGGTTTGTGATTTGAAAACTGAATTCAAAAGAATGAGATGGACACACAGTGGCATTACAGACAGCGAGAAAAACAAAATTGTAATTAGAAGTAAAAGGATTTTTTTGGGTTCTTTTCTTAGGGGGGGGGGGGATGGCAGAGGCTTAACTCCCTTGACGGCCTACCTGTTACATAACACCATATCTGATTTTAAAAATAGCACCAAAAAACAATATCGCTTCTGAATATCTGGGCATAGTTTACTACACTGGACGAGCCAGAGTACTATGTCACTATTTTTTTACAGCGGCAGCCAGTAAATAAAGACTTCCAAGTGTCTCTGAAATTTTTGTTCATTCCGACATACACGATGAAGTTACAGGAACTGTTTACGCACACTGCCATGCTGACAACCTGGTAACCGATTCTGCCAATGTTGTTGGGTGCGTCCCCGGTCATGGTGTAGTAGCCGTACTCGGGCAGGTAGGTGGGCAGAGAGAGCATCCCGCAGGTGACTGTATACAATGCACACACAGCCAACAGCATCTTGCTTGTGCGGTTCGACTTCGTTTCCTTCGTTGTTGTCATTTTCTGTCTCTTGATAGATGCTAGTTTGATCTTCACGGCGATAAAAATACACCCAACAAGAGTAAAGCTTGGCGGGATAATCAATGTGAGGTACCTTATCACTTCATCCAAAGCTGCACTCAGGTCTAATTCTTGATAAAAACGGTCAGACCGACCTATTAATCCCACAGAAATATTCAGCTTGGGATCAAATTCGTACAGGAATTTAAACCAAAACGAAGTGTAAATGTATACCA